AGTGGCCATCGCTGCTTGGGAGCAGGAATGGGGTGGGAAAGCAGAGGTTGTGAGAGCTTCCTTTGGGGAGGCCGGTCTTGGCCATTCTCCACCAAAACCACAGCCCTGTTAGAGGTGGAGGCCTTGGTTTAACAGCTAAACAAAAATCATCAGCAACAACCCCCCCACCCCTCACACCCTTCACCTGGGCCCCCACTATCCCGTCAAGGGCAAGCGTTGAGAAGGGAACTCTGCTGTCTCTTGGAACAAAACGCTGTGTATGCAGAGCAGGTAGAGATTAATCTTCACCAGCTTTTCCAAAGCATGGCAGGGGGCTTGTTGATGGCAACATACCAGCCATTTAGGGGAGAGATGATTTACAGCTAGAGAGAATCTTGCCCCTTGGCAAAGAACCTGGGGCTGTTTCTCCTTCGATTACACAGCATCTTTTCGGTTCTAGCCTGACCTCTTTCCATATTCCTGGCTTTGTGACATCTCTCAACTTGCAGCTCCAGCCTTCTCCCTTTCTGTTTCACATTGGCAGGGAAGCTGCAGGGTCTCCAGGGTCCCTAGGCAGCTTCTGTGAGGCAAACGTCTTCTCCCTTAACCCAGCACATACCCTGATTAGCAAGTGATGTGTGAGGAGGGTTTTTGAATGTTGAATGTATGTATAATAATGATCACTACTCTGCTGGGCCACCAAGCCCAGAGCTGAGCTGTTATAACAAGGCACCCTGGGAAGAGCTTAGGGGATGGAGACTTCTTACATCCTTCTCTCATTGTCTCCCCACATTGCCACTGGGCCTTGGCTTTCAGCTGCCAGGAGAAACCTTCAGCACTTCTGGAGGACCCTTCACTGGGGTTTATTTGGGAGCCACTCACGAACTCCAGTACTCATCCTTGTAGCCAGTGTTTGAGGAAAAGGACAACTTTAATCACCCAATGCAAGCTTCACCCCACTGGGAGGGAGTGGTTTTTCCTATAGGGAATGAATTTGGTTTGGTTTGGGGGTTTTCCTTTGCAGCCCAAAGAATTTGCTGTCATGATTTGTTAACCATATTGCAATAAAAGCTGAACAAGATTCTTACTTTAGCATTTAAACATAAATCTTCTTTTTTGGGCAGCAGCGAGCACATTTGCTATTTTTGAATTGCTAATTTAACTACCGTGGACAGATGTGGATAGGGAAAGAATAAAAGGACTCACACAAGGGTGTCCTAAATCCCCATTGGACATTGGCAAGCTCCAAACAGACATTGCTGGAAGATGGAGGGCTGTCTTGGGTGTACGTTTGATTCGTTCGGGGAATATTTGGGACTTGCGATAGGTAGATTGGCCCCTCCCTAAAGTGTTGAGTCTGTCTGGGTCTCACCCCTCTAATGGATGGATCCTTCCATTATTTGCTCCAGTAGGGGACCCCAGGGTTGCCATCTCCTTGGACCCTTCCTCCAGCCCAATCCCAGATGAGTTAAGTTGGCACTGATACATGCTGGACCACTGCAGAGAGCCATGTTTGCTGATAGAGTGGTCTCCATTCAAGCATTGAAGGAAGTCGCTGGATGAGGGTTGGGCTGGTCTTGGTGTGATCATCCACCTGCTAGAAACCCTACCTGGAGGACAGAATTCTAGGACTTTAGGGTAAGGCCTCTGGAGAATCAGTTAGTGCTTCGCAGGTCCCCCACTTACTCGAGTGGCTCATTCTGGAATCCCTACTCTAGAGCCTTTTTAGAGGCTGGGAAGCTTTAGATCGCATAACAGGAGGGTTCTTTGCTGGTGTCTCCGGCTGGGCAGGTGGGGATTCCACAAACACCCTCTGTCCTCTTGTATGTAGTGTCCCCTACCTAGAGCAGTCCACCCAGCAACTCTTCTAACACTCTCTCCCACCCCAGGCCCTCAGTGGTCCCTCCAAAGCCAGGGGCTCCCCAGTGCCAAATCCCAGCAAATTTTGCAGTTGCTCCGCAACGGGCAGAGATTGCTTGCGACAGGTAAATGGGCTGCGGGTTGCCTTAATGCCAGGCGTATTTTCAGTTAATAGGGAGGGAAAATGAGGTGTCTGCAGCGATATTGGAAAGTACAAGATCGATGATGCGGCCTCGTGTCCAATCAGCAGCCTTTAATTGACTGTATTTTCTGGGTAATTGAGCCTCTCTTCCTCCAAATTGAAGTGGATGGTGTAACAATACATCTTGCCAGGAGGAATGACTCATTACTTCATAATGAAATTTCCCTTTGCCAGGGTTTGCGGTTTGGCGGTAGGCACCACTTCTCACTCTGCGCTCCCCACCCCCATAGAGCTTAGCAGCCTGCACCAGGCCATGCCATCTGGCTTGATGTGCCCCACTTTGGTTGGGAAAGTGGAGTTGACTATGAAGACACTGTCCAGGGGCAGGACAGACCAGGCAAGGCACCGGATGTGGCTTTTTTTTTTTTTTTTTTTTTTTTTTTTTTTTTTTTGTTGAGTGTCTTGTCTTAGCTGACAAGCTGTGGTCCCATTTTTCCTGAGGCTCTGAACTGTGCTCAGCACACAAGGCTAGGGTGCACCTGTGAGCTTCAAGTTCTCATCTTCCCCCTCCAGGCTTCGGGGCTCTGAGTTGAAGATCCATGCTCAACAAAGTTTAACATTTCACTTCCAACTCGTGTCTCTCCCTCCCCTCCCCCCCATTCAGCTTCTGAGTCCTGGCAGGACCTGCAGGTCTGGAAACAAGGGCTGGTGCTCAGCTCGGGTTTGCCTAGACCTGCAAGACTAACCACTCTGCAGCCTAAGTGCACACAAGACCTGGCCCGGCCCGTCGCTGGCTTGTTAGTGTGTGATTGATTGCCTTATTAAAGCGTGTTCTTGTAAGTGTGACCAAACTGATTGCATTGCATATGTTTGGGATAATGCTCATTTTAAACAACAGGATAAAGCGGATGAGCTCGGCAGAGCCTCGAAGATGAAATGATTCCGGCCAGCAGTTCCCTAACTCTGGCATTAAATTACCCAGTTACATAGCAAATCACTTAGTTCTTCCATCCTTACCCCTATTTTTTTTGGGGGGGTGTAGGAGATGGGCTTTGCAGTTTGATCGCATGGTCTGACCTATTGGTGGCTTTTCTAGTCATCATAAAAAATCCACCTTTTTAGACTCCAAACCTGCAAGGAATCACTAGATATGGAATCCTCCACACTCCAGGCAGCAGAAAAAGGAGGTTCCATCATGCAACCTGTCACCCAAAGGACACAGCCCTAGACAGTCACCCCAATAGAAGCCTTGGGTCCCCACAGTATGTCTCCTCCATCCAAAATGCTTTTATGGAAGTTTAAAAGATCCCTTTGTTCTCCAGGCTTTCTCCTGCTCGGTTGCTTCCATTATTCTCCAAACGAGGAAACACCCGTGGCCATATGTCCTCCCGAGAGCATGGGTGTCACAGTGGACAGTTGTGGAAGATGTCCAGACGGATGGCATACTCCAAGTGGGACCAGCTTTCTGTACTAAGCATCCTATCCCTGCACAGTAAGGGATGGGAGAGAAAAAGAGTATAGCAAAGTGTGTGTGTGTGTGTGTGTGTGTGTGTGTGTGTGTGTGTGCTAACCATCTCCACTGTCAGCTGTTAGTTGCAGCAACATTTTCTTTCTGTGTGCCCAGCTCCCAACAAAGAAATCTTCAGCTTGTCTCCACTCACTCCTGATGACTTGCACTAGAGCCAAACTGCGGGAAGATTGAACTTCCTAAGGAACACCTTTGGGATCTGCTGGAATTCTGATTTGTTCAAGATGATGACAGTCATCAGGACAAATCAGAAACAATGCCACTCTTCAGGGTGTCATTTGTAAGTGCAGTAGCACAGATTCGTTTGCAGTCCCCAGCTGAAACAGGTCTGAGTAAGAGGATAGATGCATCGGCAAATTTCTCCCTCACTTCCCTCCTCCCAAGTTCTGCAGGGACAGGCACATCAGAGTGCAATAGAGAAAGCGCTAAGGCCAAACCCAC